GCATCAGTGGGCTTCTTTTTGGTAACAAGGTTGTTTGTACTGTATCATTCAGGAAGTGTGCAACACGAAAATAGTAAAATTACACATATGTGAAGCTAAAAAGACCATGAACATCATTTTCAGTAATCCTGAGAGGCCCATAAAAGATAAAACCCACACTGATTGTGATCTATAAGATATCATTGTAATAAGCAGCCGATCATCACATCACATGCAGCATCTAATCAACTCATCTCCTCTGTCGAGCCATGCTGTGAGGCCACACGACGTCAGTGGTGGGAACCCAGAGGTTTTCTTACTTATGGAACAGAACCCGGTCGGTCGGTCGATCATGTGACCTTTGCTTTGCTCTTATGCATCTACAATGAAATGGATAGTAGTGCGAGAAATTATTCCTCCTAAGAAATGTGATGTACCACAGTGTATCCGTACAGTGTGAATCAACAATGCAAACACAGGTCATTTCAATCAAGATGTAATAGAAATAATAGATAATCATTATAATCATCAGAAGTAAAAAAAAAAATCCTGAGAAACAAAGTATCTCCTCTGCTGCCACAAAACAAGGTATTAGTCTCTACTGTCACAGAAGTTGGTGTTTAATCATTTAACATTCAACGTTTATAGCTGGAAGTGTTTATGGATATGAAATATAAACCCTTGAATGTTAAGCTTCAAACCACACACACACACACACACACACACATAAAAAACAATTAGTGCTGTTTTCCTTTTTAAGGGCAGTCTAACAAGAAGAACATCCCCCCCATCACATTTCCCTGCCACCCTCCACTGTTTTATCTCGCAGGGCAGAAATGGCTTAAACCAACGACGAGTGCAGCAGCAATTTGCGCCCACGGTGAAAAGCAAAGCGACGGCGGCGACATCTGCGCCTTAACTAGGCGTCAGCGGCGTGATCCTCTGCTCTCTCCAGGAAGTGGAGTGGGAAAAAACGTTTTTACAGTCACAACCGCCAATTATAATCTACGGGCGACGTGATTGGTTGGCGCGCGCACTCACTCGCTCCTCAGGCTGTGTCTAATCTTTGCTTTGAAACTACTTTTGAACAGTGTGTTTTCATACCAGGTTTAAGGCTAAAACTAGATGATTAAAAGGGGAAAAGATAATTGTTGTTAGAATAACGAGTTAGTGTCCAGTGGTAGTCGAGGGATTGGTTCAGTTTTCCCTCCCTCTCGTTCGTGTGTTTCCTCAATCCCTTTTTCCTTGATCTTCCCACTCCTTTCTCCATCTAACCTTCCTCCTCCGGCTCTCCCTCCCGTCCTCCTCACTCTCTCTCTCTCTCTCTCTCTCTCTCTCTCTCTCTCTGTGATGTATTGCTGCTTTATCAGACTGGTTAAATGGCTCGCCTGCAGTGCTCTTTAGTTTCCTGTGAACTATGCTGATACTCTCCCTGAGAGGACGAGATAGGGAGCAGTCTGTCCAATACACTGAACAGTGCAGAGGTGATACACACACACACACACATATTCCAACATGTACAAATACACACATATAATTCCTTATCTACCATCTAATATCTGTTCTTATTTAAAGTTGTTTGCAGTTTTCTCCTGTTGCATTTTCATTTCTTTAAGCATCCACTGATTTTCAACCCAGACCTTATTATAATGTTGTTTACCATCACTTAGACTCATGCATACAGCAACCTCATTAAGGAATTAAGGAAGAAACCCCACGACTCCTCTTTACTGTTCATATTGACTATATGTTGCACTTTTTTTTTTCAGCATAGACATGGCCAAGACAAATAATCAATAAATCCTGATAGAGAGTGTGGTTTACAGCCTCCTCTTAACGGCTGAAGATGTCGACGTGTCTGACTGGACTGTAAGCTTCCTGTTGCTGAAAGGTTTTTTCCAGGACTTAAATAATGACCCAGTTGGATTAAACCGAAGCCGAGGCCGAAGTTAGTGGTGAAGTTGCTTTGAGAATGATTGAATACGAAGGGAAAACGCTGTTTGATATGGTTGGAGCTTCCTCATTTTGACTAGTGATAACAGGTGATACAGGTGAGATACAGCACAACGCCTCAGGAACAGCAAAGTATGCGAACGTTGTGGTTACGAGGTCAAGAATGGACCTCCATACTTAATCCTATTTGGAAGAGCAGGATAGATGGTTGAATGCAAAGTGTCTGACTCTGACAGTGGAGACCGTGATTCACATAACGTCGCCAACCTACAATCGATACTAGTTCCTTATGAACCCAACCCTTTCTCTAGCAAAGTTCAAACAAACATTTATCAAGACCTCTAAAGCAGAAATGTAAAAATGTTGTTTTTATTGAAAATGATTTGACTTGTGAGAACATCATGAGGAAATAAAGTTTTAAACGATGCTCATGAATAATATTGATCATATATTTTAGAGTCAAAACAACATGCACCAGACTTTAGGGAATAAAATCTAATTCATAGTAAGTGGTCCAGATCTGCCCCAGAATTGAATGGGTTCTTCCCTGGCCGATGCCCCATGCCTCCACCAAGGTCAGTGTAAATCGGTTCAGTTCTTTTTGCGTAATCCCGCTGACAAACAAACAGACATGAGTGGAAACATAACCTACTTGGCGGAGATAAAAAAAAAAAAAAAGTAGATCAGCAGATGGCGAGGCAACACTGTGGTTTAACTGTTCCATCTTCCCCCCATCCGACCACTGGACGTGGTTATTAATATAAAGTGAAGTGAAGAATAAGACCAACATGAGCAGTAGGTTGTTTAGACATGAAAGTGTTACTGATCTTCTCAATGAATTCTTGGTGTAAAAGTCAGTAGGTACATTTCTCAAAATGTCAAAGTATTCCTTCAAACACAGAGGATGCAGTTCAGAAAACAAGTCATATGAATCATTTTTTCTGAAGGTCAAACAGTGTGGGTCGGTTTTGGAAGAGGCTGCAAACAACTTGTTATGATTGGTCGTTTTTTTAGGTTTGAGGACTTGTTGCAGATAACACAAGAAGGGACACACATTGCGTCTGCCCACACACACACACACACACACACATCATTAACCTGAAAGAATGATTATGTTTGCACATAATCACACCTTGATGGATAATTTATGCACGAACATTCATTTAGACAAACAAAAGCAAAACTGAAAAAAATGAATACGCTTGCACACATTGAGATACAATAGATTCACATTAGACAATGGAAAAGTCAACATGCCCACACAGTGTGAAGAAACGCAAAGACGAGGTTTGATGTTTGTGCTTATAGCAATGAGTGAAATATGTACACGCACACTTGGCCTCTTCTATTCTGCTTGTATTATCATAGACTCAACACCCACTAAAATATTTTAGCTGGAGGCCTGGGTCCGTCTGGAGATGTGTTGGCTTTTTATCTCCAACACACACACACACACACACACACACACACACACACACACACAGAAGGAAACACACAAAGGAAGCACACACACCCATTCACTTTTCATTCTTAAACATGCGCCCACACATATTGAAAAAATGTCTCATTGGTTTTTCAGCCTTCCACGCTTTGTCTCACTGACAGACATACAGTATGTGCACACACACACACACTCTCTCACACACACACACACACACCCACCTATTCCACCTGTCCTTGAAGACATTTATGAGGTGCTAAATCACTAAGCCTTCTGAGTGGTAAGGGTAAATAGAGAGGACAGCCAGTGCTTCTGCTCACACCACACACACACACACACACACACTGCGTAAACATCAAAGCTTCTGTTTCATTTCATCTCCCTTGGTTTATTTTAAATGACTATTTTTAAATGAGGCATATACATATATATATGTATGGTAGTCATTCTCTCTCTAAAACTTTTATTAGGATCACAGACAATATCATGAATAAGTCCAGTAAAAGAAGAACCGCTGTGAGGAGGCAAACAACAAAGACAAGAAGGGAAAGAAGACGAACTGAGTGGGTGGGTTGGTGGATGGCTGGAGATGGAGGGAGAAATGCAGGAATAGTGGAAGGGAATATTTAAAGAAGCAAAAAAGGGGAAGTTTGGGAATAGGCATCAAGGAAAGTGGTGGAGAATTTAAATGAAAGAAACGGAAGTCAAAAAGGAAGGATGGAAAAATACAAAAGCATGAAGGAGGGTAAATGGAAGGAACGCTGGAAAGATCAATGCATGTGTAAATGTGGAGGGAACTGGAAAGTAAGAATACACAAAGACGGACAGTCAGGACGACGTAAGAGAGGAAAGTTTGATTGAGCAATACAAACTGTAGAAACAGGAAGTTCAAAAGAAGTCTGATCTCTTTTTGTTGTTGTTGTTCTTCTTGTTTATTTCTTCCACAGAATAACCTGATCCTCCAACTCTGACCTGGAAGAAGAAAAGCCACTTGCAACACCTTGGATACAACCAACCACACCAGCGATACTTACAACCAATTTCAGATACTAAAACTAAAACTATCCGGCAAAGATCTGGTGGACAGGTGGATACAGAAAACAGCAGCCATGGATATGAACAATTCAGTTTTTAGCTCCGAATTAGGGACTCTTAAACTCTTAGCTACATCATGAGGTGGAAGTGACTCAACAGCAAGAAGCAACACAAGGCGATTTGACTCATCATCGTATACCTTGAGAACACGTCGCCACTGATTTATTGGCAAGAAATGGGAGATTCAACCCTCAGTGAACAATCTGAGGCTGTTTGCAGCTAGCAAGACTTTACTGGAGTACAACTCTAGAACACTTGTAGCTAGTTCCTCCCCATCCCCTCTTCCCCATCCCCATCATTCCCCATTCCCCAAGTCGAGCCCTCCCTGTTTTCTCCCCTTCCCCCAGATCCTGGTTTTATCAATCTTTAATAGTGTGCTGTCGGTTAAAGACACACTTTAAAACTCAATGTACCTTGAGCCTCTCTCCACCTTCTTCTTCCCTCTGCTGGTGAAAAAGGTGGATTAAAACCAGGGGAGTTCCTCTCCCTCACCCTTGTTCAAGCTCCTTCTGCGTAAGGGTCTCTCTTTGGGATGGGTGGCCCAGCAAGGGCTCTCCTTGGAGGGTTCAGCACAACCACCTCCTCTCTGGAGGTGGGAGGTCGGATGTCTTGGCCGAGCAACAACCCCCTGGACCTCAACCAAACCCTGCCTTGGGGGAGTGTTGGTGCAGGAGGCGCGGCGGCCATGAGTGCAGGCCTGGACAATTTTACCCAGGAGTCCATCACCAGGGCAGTGATCAAAGAGAAAAACTGGCCGGCGCTGCTCATTCTCGTCATCATCGCGCTGACGATTGGCGGCAACATCCTGGTGATCCTGGCGGTGTCGCTGGAGAAGAAGCTACAAAACGCCACCAACTTCTTCCTGAGGTCGCTGGCTGTGGCAGATATGCTCGTGGGCATCCTGGTCATGCCGATCTCCTTAATCAACATCCTCTATGGTGAGTCACAAGAAAAATACCTCTCATAGAAGTTGAACAAGCAACAAACACCAAAATTCAAGGTTGTTCATATAGTTTCCAAAATGTAAACCTTTTACACCCTTTGCACTAGTGTTCTAGCCTCTCAGATGGTTTTGGTTTCAGATATTATTCGAGATGTTCACAGCAATAAAAAATTATATTTAACAAGACTTAAAGTCTACAACCATGCATAACTGTGTGGTGTATTTAGCTAAAGGCTAATAAGTGCTTGTAATTACTGATTTCAGTCTTTACGCTTTCTCGGCCTAATCATAAAAAGAGAGATAGACGCCTATAAAATCACACAATGTTTTAACAATCTTCACTGCAAATTCTTGCCCCTGATCTTGAGCATCCACCCACTCACCAGCTGTTGCCAGCACACTGTCACATGCTGCCTGTCAGTATTTCAGAACATTTTTCAGCGCAATTATTGAAGTGATTACTGCTTCTCCGAGACGTTGCACACTGTTGTTTTGTGACTTAAACAAGACCCGGAGGATGCCAACTTGATAATTGCAATATCGTACCAGATATCAACTGCTGTTCTTGCTTACAATATCCGTGCCAGGGTTCTGCATGAATGCCAGCATTATCTTAATCGGATGGAGGAGGGGGGGTTGTTATATTATAGGCTGTGTATGTATCATTTCTTCTCAAATGTTGAGTAACATTTCAACCAGGTTTTCACATTAGCACCACAAAGGAAAGGTGTATTTCCTACTCTGCACCTGTAAATGTCACCATCACAGAACTGATCATAGTTAAGTTGTGGATCTGAAAACCAAAACAATAAGCTGAAGGATGCTAAAATGCTCCAGAAAGCTAACAAAGATAAGATTTCTCTATGGTTTATTGATCCATTTGTGAAACTACTGATAAGCACAGCTTTAAGAGATCAATTAAAAACATTAGGTCCAAACAATATTATATATATACATAGTAGAAATAATGTCAGCACACAAATATGATCTTTAATCATTGAGGTCATGTTCCAGCATTTCCAGGCAAGTATGTGTCTGAACTTTCACATTTAATGGATTGTTATAAAAATATTGATTATAGCCAAATCTTTGGGCCAAAAATATTTTCAGATACCATCACATCTGGGAATAATTTGATCCAATATTCGTCTTAATTCTGTGTGACTGCACAGGCGTGATGTGTGAGAACATCACGGTTTAAGGAGACAGAGTACATGTCATTCTAATCTGCTGTCAGCAGACACAGCTAAATATGAATAAGCTGTCACGGATATTATCATGACAGGCCAACAAATTTGGAAAATAGATCATTAGGCTCAGTTGCTGCTAAATGATTTGTGATTCAGTTTGGATTTCTGTCCGTCTTGACAGTGACGCTGATGTGGGGAGTCTCCTCGGTTACCAGCCGACGTCACATGTTCGTGTTGTGTCTCTTGCAGAAAACGTTTTGATTAACTGAGTTTCAGTGCAAACAGCGACGCCATTTAAGCCGAAGCGTTATCACCATGGTCAATTTTGCCAGTGTGACAGAAGAGAAAGCCAGAGTCAGACGAGTCAACATAGATGTTATCTTGACAGGACAAAAGTTTGAGAGAATAACCCTGATGATGTCAACAGGGCTATTTCGGCTTGGCTTTGCCATCCTGTGACATTGTCAGACTCATTATTGACAATTCGAAGCAGCAGAACCAAAGATATCAGCTTTTTTATTTCCCATTTTCATCGTTGTGAAAACCTGGTGCCTACATTACCCACAATGCAACTCGACCACCAGCAAACTGAGAGAAAGAGATTCGAGTGTGATTTGCTAACGTAGCCTCGAGCTGCTAACCTCAAGCAGAGATGTGGTTTCACTTTCTGACTCCACGCCCCAGATTTTGTTTTTGTTTTTGTTGTTTTAGTTGCATTGTGGGAAATGTAGTTTTCAGTGTTTATGGAGATTCACTCATGCTCAGGCCTAACAGTCAATATATCTCAGCCTCTGCTGCTTCAGTTTTGACCCTGAAGTACAAAAACAAGTTATGAAAAAAACTAATCACCAGAAATATTACTTCAATGCTGAAATAAATTTCCACCTTTTACAAGCCAAAATAAAAATGCCGATGTGGATCTACACACAGGGGAACAGTACTCAGATGAAATCTTTACTCCCTCTTCTGTCTTCAGTCGTTTTGTCCTGAAGCTCTTTTGTATTCTCAGCACAACTTGGCCAAACCTGCTGTATTCATGTCTCTGCTCTGTAGCTGTCAGGCATCCTTCAGGAATACTAAATAGGGGACAGGGAAGGTTGATTGCTGCTTAATGGTCCGTGTATGGTCAATGGACACACTTGCTCACTTTCTCTGTGTCTGTCTGTTAGTTCAAGCCGCTGCTGCTGCACATTGCCCACGGCGGTAATCAATGTTACACACACACACACACACACACACACACACACACACACACACACACACACAGAAAGAAAGAAAAATGCTGACAAGTCTGTCTTCTTCTCTCTATTTGTTGATGCACATACACATCGAGACAGATAGGCCATGTGTCTCTCTGTCATTTATATACACACCCACAAAAGAACACCAGTCGCTGCACACACGCACGCACACACACACGCACACGCACGCATGCATACACACACAGACACACACACACTTGAATGGAGCCTGGATCCATACTTGCAGTGTTACCCATCAGACTGGTACTTGACTGCATTGATCCCCACGGCTGGCTGAGTGATAGACCAGACAAACACACACACACACACACACACACACACACACACACACAGGCACATCACAGAGTGTTCTCACACAATTGAAAATGACAGTGAATCATTCCGATCACAATAACTGATGATGATGACAATCATGATGAAGGATGATGCAGATGGTAATTATGCTACTTTTTATATATATATATATATATACATATGCAGATGCACACACACACACACACACACACACACACACACACACACACAGACACGCAAACACACACACATACACACACAAACACACACACACACACACACACACACACACTGCTTTTGGCAAATACGTTTGAATTTCTTTAATTGGAATAAACAGTGATGGAGTGTAAGCCACCAGAAAAATCTCTCACTCTCTCTCTCTCTCACACACACACACACACACACACACACACACACACACACACACACACACACACACACAGGCTGGCTTTTAGTAATGGTCCAGTAAAAAGATTAGAATGAGGTAAATGCTCTTTGGACGGGAACAAGGATTCTCATCATCCAATAAATCTCTGTGACGAGCTTCTCCACCCTCAGACACACACGGCCTCATTCACATAACCTCATTGTGTCTCATGTTGCATGTAAATGTTGCACAAAGATGCACATAATGTGTTAAGAAGAGAGAAGTAAGAAAGATTTTGGATGAGTTTTAATGAAAATGTTCTCTTCAAGAAATGTGTGTTTGAGTAAGACTCAGATTAAAAGACATTTTGACTGCCAATAAATGATGGTCACGCTCTTCCCGCAGCCTTGCATGTGTGTCCTGAGGAGAATTTGGCTTTTTTTTTTTTTTTTCTTAGTGGGGAACTGGACTAATTTCACACATCAAACAGGTCTTGGGAGAGCAGGAGGGAGGGAGCTGTGAACGTCACTTAACTCAGCGATGGTTTAGTTTTGAGGACTGTAAGTTTGAATTTGTGAAATTCAATCTGAGGGAAGAAGTAAGAGCCACCACACCTTTGTATCCCACCCCTCATCTCTGCTTGAGGCTAGCAGCTACATTAGCCTCTTGAAAATGAATCCGTTGCCCAGTGTGACAGCGCTGTGATTACGGTTTGGCAGGACACTCTATTAAAACTGAACGGCATTCACACAATTAATATGTAACTTCATTTCAAATGCCGACTGCATTATAAGAGACACCTAGACAGGGGATTGGGAAGGGTGTTAGATTGTAAAATATTCTGCTCATTAAATGCTGGCTTTCTGCTGGTAAAAGCCAACTGTTAAGTCATTGTGAATCCTGCATAGAGAGCAGCGTGGTACTGCAACACTGCTCCCTGACACACTCAGGAACATGGGAAATTGTTTGATCTCCAGTGATAACAAAGTGTGTGGAAAATGTCTTAATTTTCCAAAACCATTTCACTGTTCTACGCTAATTAGACATCTTCCAATTACTCTGAATGTGATTCTTGGCTATAAAGGGAGGGGAATATGGCAGCAAATTAGTGTAATTTAGACTCATTTAGTTTGTTTTCTTCCTTGGCTCTTTGTTTGCATGCCGAAAAAACCTACAAGCAGAGGCGCGCCGTCAGGATCCTGGGACATTATGCAATGACAACTATAAATCTCCTTAAATCTCTATACAGTGCACTGCTGCTGTCCCCAACCCCCCCCTAAGTGCTGATGTGGATGATGTGTGCTATAGCTAGCATCTACCCATTACCTGCATGTGAGAAACATCTATCTATCTACCTATCTATCTATCTATCTATCTAAACAAAAGAGGAACAACAGAATACATCTCACCTCAAATCTCACCTTCAAACATATAGCAAATATGAAGGGTTAATACACAGGAATAAGATGTTTCAAAATAAAAGCGCAACAGAAGACAGGGCATGATGGATAAGAAGAAACAAAAGTAGCGGAGAGGGAGATGAGATCTGAAGGTGTAGATCACACACACACACACATGCACGCACACACTCATGCACACGTGCTCACACAGGAACATACAGCCTGAGAGCATATGACCTTCAAGGCCGACTCAATCAAAGTTCTTGCTGAAGGCTATATCTCTGCATGGAGCCCAGATTGGGAACACACACACACACCCACACACACACACACACACACACCCACACATACAAGGTACCGAACTTCTTCCCTGACAGTGGATTGATATGAGATCCTGTACTATAGTTATGGAGATATTATACAGAGAAGTTTTCATTTGAGGGCTCTGCAGGATGTCTTTGCATGAAACAACTTTCATCAACAAAGGTTCATCTTCATATTTTGGACACTGCTCGTCTCTTTCTGAGCATACTGAGGGAGAAAGTCAGAGAAGGTCAGAGAACTACATCAAGAAAAATCATTATCGATGATCAACTTTGGTACCAGTTCTCTCACTTCAATCAGAAATTCTAGTTTAGCCTTAACTCAAAAATCCAATCATTTTCAAAGCCAATATTGACATCAAAAATTTAAGAGCAGAGTTACTGAAGAAAAGGACAGAAGCATATTGGTAGTTTGCTTTCATTACTCTTCATTAGTCTAGAGACGATCAACAAAAACACATCAGTTCTTCAAAGTAAATCCACGCTTCCTTCTTGGAAGCCGATGTGACCTCAAGTTAAACCAGTGACTCAAAAACATCATTTAAACACTCACCTCGAATCCCTCCTTGACTAATATCTGATTTGCTTATATCTTTAAATCATAACCTCCCTGCATTATGCACCGCCACAGCAGTCCAACTGGAAATGCATCTTATTAAAAAGGCAAAATGAACTGAAAATGTTTTTTTAGTTGAGACTAAAGTCTTTTGATAAACAGAGTTTATCTGCAGCACTCAGAGTCGATTTGAGTCTCTCAGTGTATTTAGCAGAAAATCCAGCACACCCGCTAGCCAGCTGAGTAACACCTTCTGTGTGTGTGTGTGTCTGTGTGTGTCTGTTTGTGTGTGTGTGTGTGTGTGTGTCATGCAGTGCCCCCAATAAGTGTTTGACCTCTGAAAAGTTACGCAAGCGGCCTCCCACTCAGCACACACACACACACACACACACACACACAAGCAATCGCGTGATTCACTCCACATGCATCACATACGTGCTGCTTATCCTGCGAATCAGAGATGAAATTAAGCAGTTTGTGTGTGTGTGTGTGTGTGTGTGTGTGTGTCTGTGTGTGTGTCTCTGTGTGTGTGTGTGTCTTTGGCCGCAGGTCCTGTCCTCTGTGAAGAAAGGACTGCTCATATAGAATAGCTGCAGGCGTTGAAAGACACAGAGACGGACTTTGCAGTGCACTGTACGTCCTCTTCAGAAAGCTGACACAGCTGGAAATAAAACAGAAGCACCGTTTCCTCTGATGTTCTCCAGTTGCATATTTGCATTTTATTCTGTTATTATTCTGGACAGGAGAACCTTTAGGGGAAACGCATCTCATGCAAACAAGAAACGATGTGTTTCAGAAGACTCTCCGACGGGGTTTGAGTCACTTTTCTTTGACCTCTTCACTTCTTTTTTTGAAGTTACCTGTGATTTGAAAACATGGACATGAATTAAAGATCGTACTGAGAGGACAGTGACAAAAAGTGCAAGAACCACAGTGATAAATAGACAAAGTTAATGAGCTTGGTTCCTGCTGTGACGAGGAGTATGGGCGTATATAACAGTGCATTCATGTCACACATGATTAGAGCTGTTTATTCAGATTTTGGGTCATTTTACTTTTTCATCAGACTTTTTTGTTCACTTTTTTAATTTCTGTAACAGCCAGGTGCTGATATATGTTCTTTCCCCCACAGTACCTCTCCAGCTGGTGGGTAAAATAGCGCCAGGATATCATTTTAGCCCGCTAAGTAGCCATCACACCAATTAAGCTAACTAATTTAGCCCTGTTTAGGCTAACCTGCTGATTTAATTCCCTCTCAGCTGGTCTCAGCCATAATGCTCCCAAATGCTCTGTTGTATTCCCAAGCGGCACACTGGCCCAGTGCTGAGAGAGTAAAGACATGATTTTAAACCCCATGACCCACACTGTTCACCCTGCAGAGCTATGACCTTTAACCTCCCTGTGGAGTGGAAGAAAAAATAAAAAGAAGAAACAGACATTCCCATCAGCCTTAGCTGTACTTTGTGTTGAGTGCTAATTAGCAATTGTTAGCATGCTAACACACTAAACTAAGATGGTGAACATGGTAAACACTATAACTGCTAAACATCAGCATGTTAGCATCATTGTGATGATGTTAGCATGTTGAAATTAGCATTTAGCTCAAAGCATCACTGTGAGCCTTCAGCCTCATAGAGCTGCTAGCATCGCTGTCAATTTTTTGTCTTGTCTTAATGGGGCCATTTGTAAGTTTATCTCTGCCGCCAAATGTGTGTTTCTTGCCAGGAGCAGGTGGTGACTGTGGCTTGACAAGAGCTTCGCCATCGTTGTCTTTTAATACAAGAGGGTATAATACGCCCTCTGAGTAACGCTACTATTAGAAAATGATGGTTAGCATGCTAACCTCAGTAGAAGAAACCTACCTTCTAACCTCTATAAGTTAACTCCTCACGGAGGAAAACGTCTGCTAAATAAAGTGGTGTGAGAGCCTTGGACAATGGATGCATATGACATATTTTAAGTTTTTAAATATGTAAATGAAGTCCTTTGTTGAAAAATCACATGCAAACCTCATTTAATGACTCATATTTCCTAGTGTGGGTATAATACAATGGACGTTGTTATTCATTTTTTCTCTTTTGTTATATCCTTTTCATAATCTTGTCAGCTTCATTTTTTTATCTTTTTAATCTTAGAATCAGCAGGATGCACACACACGAACACACAACAGACACAAGAAAGCTTTATGCACTTATTTTTCACATGGACTGTGGTTGCTTTTTGTTAAACAGTATCAAAACCACAGCTTTACCTTCCTCCTGGCAACATTTATCTTAGCATTTACTCTGTTAGTATACAACTGTCAAATGTAAACAGCTTTGTGTAAAAATCCTAATCACACCTGAGTAATACTCCTAAACCATGTAGATGTCGTGATCGTCTTAACCCTGATTCCTCATGGGGGCCGGTGAGTTTAGAGCCTGTGAAGTGTGCTGTGCCTTTGTGCTTCGACGTACTCTGGTTAATTAAAGTTTAGTCAACCTCTCAGTGCTGTGTCTTAAGCCTTTATAGTCTGCTGACCCTGATGGCATTTGCTCAGTCACACCCTCAGAACAGATTGAACATATTTACATCAGTGCTTTCAAAAGTCAACAATATCAACAGCAAAAAAAAAAAAGAAGAAACTGCAGGAAAAAGTAATCCGCAGAGATTACACGATAATCACACATGCTTTCTTTTCTGCTTCTCTGTCTCCGTTCCTCCAGACTACGCCTGGCCTCTCCCCAGCGCTCTCTGTCCGATCTGGATCTACCTGGACGTCTTATTCTCCACCGCCTCCATCATGCACCTGTGCGCCATCTCCCTGGACCGATACGTCGCCATCCGCAACCCCATAGAGCACAGCCGCTTCAACTCCAGAACCAAAGCAATGATGAAGATCGCCGCAGTCTGGACCATATCTATAGGTCAGAGCGCATGCAGACGCGTGTAGATTAACTGTTAGTCTTGTTTTGTACCATACAGAAAACTGTTACAGAGCCGGCATGTTTGCAGTATATTCATGCAGTCAAGAGGAAGAAGCCTATTGATTAGGCTATCACTACAATTGACTACTTTTCATTAAATTCACAGCCATAAAACTTCAACCTTCTCTTGATAATGTCATGGCCACTCACTCTCAGTTGAAGTAATAATGGATCTTGTTAACTTGAAACTTGTTATCTTTTCATACTAAACCTTCGAAATGGAGTTACCAGCATCTAAAGATTTATTTTGTCTCACAGAAGAAGTACTGTTACATACTGTCCACAGTGTCTGTGTAAGCATTTTAGCACCACGTATTTCTATTTAACCTCCACTGTATTTGTGTGGATTCTCTATTTCTTATCTGGGTGAACCGGCCCCTTGAATATTCGTGCTCCGTTTACAGATAGCAGAAGTGCTGTCAGAGAGGTTGCTGATTCACTTTTACTGTCATTTCTGTGGCAGGATTTGTGGTGTTTTTGTATTGGATTTCATTTTATTGCACGGAGTTTTTCTTTGTTAATTTGTCCATCCCCTATGGGCCCGCACAGAGAGTCGCCAGATTGATGACTGTTATTACATTTAATGACTTTTAAGGATCCCCTGGCAGTTTCCGCAAAGGTCCCACCAGCACACCTACTGACTGTCTGAAACACTGGCAACACTGTCAGTTTGTTGACGCTCAAAGCGTCTGGCAGCTCATTGTTACAGTTGGAGCCGATTTGCAAAACATACTTTTCTAATCCCCAGAGGTGTTTGCAGCACTTTTTATATTCATTGCTATCAGTTGCAAAGACAATAATATGCAAATGAATGATTGATGTCCTCTGAAAACTTAGGGTAACTATTAGCAGTATAGCCAGGAGATACGATCTATTGAAAAGAATATGTAAAACCAACTATAGAAGCAGTGGCAGTGTGTTTGTGGATGAATAACCAATGCTGTGAATCAGAGAGTAATGAGGCTGAGTAAGACGTCTCACGCAAGCTGATGGGCTTCACATTTTAATCAGGATCTTATAGCAAACAGCTTTTGTCGTTCTCTGTTGATATTTTATATTTATTACATTTTGTTTTTAATTTCCTCTTAAAGCTCCCAGGATGAAAATAAGAACTAAACTAGTTTTTTCAGCCGCAATGGAAGAAATAATTATGAGCTGAAACAGAAATAAACCACGGATCAGATTCATTTTCAAATAACAAACAGCTTGAAAAAAGTTGTTCACAAAATAGTCTCACCACAAAGTCCATTTAGTAGCTGTTCTGGAGCTTTTGATCATATCACATGACCTTCATTAGCAGAACACTGATGAGATGCTGGGGGGGGGCTTCTCATTCATTTTGGCTTAAAAGTTGATCTTTAAAGTTCACACTTCATCTCGGAAACTTGTTTTCATAATAATGTCACCACAAGCTCCATTTAGTAGCAGTTCTGGAGCTTTTGATCATTTAACATGGTCTTTACAGCAGATGAAAAAAGATCACTTGGTTTACTTTCCCTTCTCTTTTTCAGCTGTATAATGGCCTGAAGTAATGTGTCTGTCCTCTGTGTGTGTGTGTGTGTTTGTGTGTGTGTGTGTGTGTGTGTGTGTGTGTGAGAGAAAGTAATGCTTCCCTCTGAGTGTTTAGGGATCGGATGACTTTTAGAACCTTTCTCTCAGCCCTTCCTCTGCCTGTCTGACCTGATGTTGTTTCATGCCCTTTAACACCCAGGAGGGCTTCCATGTCTTAACACGTACAACCACACACACACACACTTACACATACACACACTTAGCCTAACGTCCTCTGACCCTAAAGTAAAGTCATGGCATCAGTGCATAAACCCCCTTGGGACATATGTAAACTCTTAATCCAAATGTTCCTCTTGAAGAAAATGCAAACTGCTTTCTATTTAATCTGATTCCTATGTGGGACATAATACAAGTGAAGTCACGGAAGAGTATGGATGTAATTGAAGAAATACAGAATAAACTTTTCTCTAAAGAAACTGTACTATATGTTGACCTCACAATGCCATGAACAAAGGAAACGGGAGATTTCCTGCTTGTACAAAATGACTAAGTACAATGATTCCTCGTGGCGAAGACGGTGCAGTATGATAATTAGTAATGTATACTGTCTGGACACAGCACTCATCACCCCAGGACAGGATGAGGAAAGAGTGGGTCCCATATCTGATCATCTGTATCTCTGCATCCCCAGTGTTTCTGTCTGAACTCAGGTAACCATTCATCACAGTCTTCATGCTATTCTTCAACAGCGTTTCACAGCAGAAGAAAACCACAGAGGCTCTGGTAGATCCATGGCTGCACATGTATTAGGACTGGTCTTTCACTTATCGCAACACTTGGTGTGAAGCTGTTACAACAGGTCAGAGGGAAAGTGAGGCTTAGTCCTCTCCAGTCAGCAAGTCTTATACTGTATTGACCCAATGTCAGCAGAATGGGAAGAAACAGGAAACATGCCCCTTATTCTGACTAGGGACCATTCATGCATTAACCCAAAGTGGTTTTAGCCCTTGTGCTAACCTTGCAGTCACACCAGAACAGACCAAATCAGCTGCTTTTGTTGTGTAACGTGTTCGCCACCAAGCGAGCCGGATGCAAACAAACGGTGTATAGCTCCTATTGAATTACCTGAATCAGTTGTATCAGTGTTAACACTGGGTTTTATTTGCATGTAACTTCCAAAGGTGGCGTGTTCGCAGCCATTCTGTCAACAGTTTGTTGACATGTGGGAGATACCGTCAGTGTCAGAAAACAACAAAGTAAAGTTGTTTTGCTGTGGAAGATTATTTCCGACGGCTCCAGGTGATTGACGATAGACACCAGGAGGAGTTTATGTTCCTTCTCTCTTCTTCTTCACAACCAGCAGCTTGTGGATCATTAGAATTCCCCTGTTTTCCTGTTGACATTTCCTTGACCCACTCTAAAGGTTCTGCGCTGCTACATGCTGCTGTGATTGAGGTCTGAGAGGGTTTACAGTGATCAATGCTGAGGGATTAGCAACAGAACACCCCACAGACGATCCTTGCAGCCGCTCCCTGCGGTGTAATAACACACTCTGTTTGACTTAAAGGTTGTTTCAGTCCATCTGGACGTGTGGGTCCAGTACGACTGCAGCTTGCATAACAGGACATTATGTAACTTTCTGTAGTACTTTGTAAAAACTATAGTTAGTGATTCTGTTATGGCTCCCACTTGTTCCTCCAAATCCCAATAATTCTTTGCCCAGCTTACTGTTTATATAATGTAACATAACTGCTTACATTTCATTTCTTTTATACACTGTGTTTGCATTAGTTTCTTTTTCTAAAATTGTATGATACAGTATCTCATTAAAAAAAAATTGACATTCTGGAAATAAAACACACTGTGAGCAAACAAAAAAAACATTTCTCACTCAACAGGTGGGTTTGGTTTTACTTTGTATTCACTTTTTAATTTGTATCAATATATCAGAGGTGAATGCAAAAATACATTTTTCTGCAATGAAAAATGTTGACAATGAGGTCTGTTCATTATGCAGAGGCATTTTCCTGGGAAGCGATACTCCTGTTGAATTTTTAAGTAATTCTTCACTGCGTTGAAGACTGAATTGTGTTGGGGCTGAGGAGGATTTCTCAAAGCCCAGGCCTCTAGGCAGATGCTACTCTTTCTTTTTCTTTCTAATTTGTGCTTGAAAGTCTCCTCCACACACCGTTAGCGACGGTAGGGATGAATCATGGCTCGACCCGGACTCCTGGACAGTCTCATTAGTCAAAACTATTTCCACACCACAGGTTATTTGGACATTGGCACAGGTAAAATGTTTACAATTAATGCTAACAGATTCATCCTCCTGGGCAGCGCGTGTGAAGTCGATTTCAACAATTGCATTAGGGGAGCTGCCACTGGTCCAACCTGCGCTTTGATGTTGGCCTGGCCACCAGCTGTGCAAGAGAAAATGATGCACCTCGTGTTTTGAATGAATTACACAGGCCGGCGCTGTGGATGTGACTGAGACGGCCCCGACTTTGTCTCTGAAATGAAATGAAATGACTGGAGAGCTGTAATAACCCGGAGTCTCTTTTCTGAAACAGAGCCCGGGTCGGCGAAGCATTTCGACAGAAAAGCTCTCTGAAATCAGACGCGGCACATTAGTCAGTGTTATTATCACAGGTCAAAAAACTAGCTCGGCCCCCAAAGCCTTGTTCTCACCTCAGTCTTTTATCAGCAGCTATTATATTGCTATGAACATCCAGTACACACTGACAGGTATTACGAGCTCCAGTGGCATATAGATTCATCCCCATGTGTGACATTTCATTCCTCGTTTGCTCTCATTATAATAAAAAGTCTTTTCAGGCATGTTCACTTCTCCTTTTCCTCTTTAAAAGTCCTATTATGTGTTTGGGGTTGGTCATGATTAGATGGTTTTTTCATTTTCCAGCCTTGATTTATAGTTAATACTAAAATTACCTCGTATTTCCAAGTAAGGACTCTGGCCCTCCGTGTTCAGTTTGAAGGAAGTGGCAGTGGGTGTTTCTTCGGCCCTGACTGACAGTTATAACCACAGAAACATCATCTTTTGTATTTCAGCTTAAGTTTCTTGCAGTGAAGGATTACCCCGTGTGTTTATTACTGTAACCGCACATTTTGCTTGTTAATCTCACAGACTTCTTCTTTTTAAAGTATTTTAGGGGCATTTTGAAAGCAGAAATGCAACAAGGAATGAGGGGAGACGGGCGACATGCTTTAAAAGTCACTTGTATGATCCGAAACGAGGACATTGCGATTACACGATCAGCGTTTTACACCCCCAGGCCACCAGGATGTTCCAATTTCAAACACTTTACACTGATATTACGTAGATATTTTTAGCAGATTGTCCAATTCTTACTCTCCAGTGAGAACAAACCAATAAGTTGGACAGACCGGTAAATTGGTCAATATTAGCTTTTGTGCAGATAAATCTGTATAGGTATATATACGTGTATGTTGGCCGATACATAACATAGAATTTCAGAAATATTAAAGTAGTTTTGAGGTTATTTAGAAAATCTTGGTCAAAAAAAAATCTCATCAAGATATGGCTTGCCTATGCTATGAGCTTAAAAAAAATAATCACAGCCAATATAGTGTATCTGCAGAAGCCCTGAAAGGCCGGAGATGCCAGCTTCTAAGCTTTTGGTTTTTTTTCATCTGTGAAAACAAGAGAAGTTTTCTCTCTTTTTTTTAGGCTTCTTTCCGGAAAAAAATGATTAATTTACCTCTGGGGGTTTGTTTAGACAGATGGAAAAAAAAACCTTTTATTATCTTGGCCAAAAAAAATAAAAGAATCACTTGCTTCTCAGAACTTCTGTATGTATCAGATTTCTTTAAACTGTGAAATATCAGTATTAGTTTCCTGAAAAATCCAGTATTGGTCGGGCTATTATTACATTTAAATAGGTTCCCCATTATTACCCTTAATGTTTTTCCTCATTAAGTTCCTTCATTGTTTTTATGATATTACCTAGTTATTATCTTGTTTTCACCAACCTGTGTGTAAAGTGCCAAAAAAGTCCCATCACCGGGAGAAGCTCTGTATTCAACATGAATCTTTCCGCCCACAGAAGCACCGAACTGGTGGAAGACAACAAAGGAAAAGTTTCAGCAAAATAATAAAACTGACAAACATCAATTCTCCCGTCCCGCTCTCTCTCTCTCTCCTTCTGCAGGTGTGTCGATGCCCATCCCGGTCATCGGCCTCCACAACGAGGACAAGGTCTTTGTCAACGGCAGCTGTGTCCTCAACGAGGAGCGCTTCATGCTGATTGGCTCCTTTGTGGCCTTCTTCATCCCACTGGTCATAATGGTGGTGACATACTGCCTCACTATACAGGTAGGCATGTCTGTGTGTGCGTGTGTGTGTGTGTGTGTGTGTGTGTATTGCCAAAGATATTCCTCTGTTCTGTTCTGTTGTACTTTACTCTTCTTCTTCTCCAACACTAAAAACCTCCGACCTCTTCTTCTCCTTCTCTATTCCCTTCCTGCCCTCTCCTCTGCAGGTGCTCCAGAGGCAGGCCACTGTCTTCCTATATGAGGCAAAGACTTCCTCCCAGCAGCCTTTGCACACACCAGCAATGACAAACACATTGCAGCCTCCGCCCAGCACCTTCCACCTTCCTCAGATCAACACAGTTGCCCCGCCAGACTCACAAGGTAAACACCGATCAGGCTTCCAGCTGCTGAAATCTGCCTCATGTTAACAGAAAAAAAACATCCATTTGCATGTTTTTAATTGATAGTAAATATGTAAATTTATTTATAAACCGTCGGTAATACCCATATGTTTATTATTGTTAAATGAGGAGGGAAATGCTGACAACTGTGCAACTGTGGAACTGAAATTTGTTGAACCACAAACCTTAATGTAGTAATATGATCACATAAGGTAAGGTAATATAGATCCGTGATACCTCTTTTGCCCCCCCCCCCTCCACAGAGTTAAAGCCCCCACTCCCGCCTCCACCCCCGCCCCCTCAGAGCAGACGAAACACCCTGAGCTGTCTGAAAGGAGCGGAGCCCAGCATACTGCTCAGCGCCTCCACATCCGACAGCATAAGCATCATTCCCAGCTCGGAGGCGGCGTCTCAGCTCAGCTCGCCAGCCGCGGGGCCGGGGCGGAGCGACACGTCGGGTTGCCACGGGCGACGGGGGATGATGCAGGCCATAAAGAACGAGAGGCGGGCCTCCAAGGTGAGAAATGAGGAGTGGAGGTGAGGCAGAGTGCTTGTCATCTGATTTAAGGTGCGCTTGTTTCAGGTGTCCCAGACAGGTGATAGAACAGCTGGTAAATAAATACAAGTACAACACAAGTTCCCTCAGAGGTCGTGCTGGGTGTTGGTTGAGGTCATCACTTTTTCTTTGATCAGTTATTTGAATTTTGACAATTTTAGTCTGTATTTTTATTTCTTCGTGTGGCTTGAAATCTTACTGTTGTTCCTGTGGGGTGTGGTCAGTACACTGTGACATCACCAGCTGTTTAAAGGTGCAACAGAGCAGTCAGACATACAAACATATTTATATTGCTCAACGCACCAACATTTAATGCTTTGCGTGAAGCATCATTATCACTAAATGCATTTCATTTTGTCTTTGAAGACCAAGGAAGACGTGCTCTTCTCAGTGACTCACATAGTTTCAAACAACAGAGGAAGATCAGAGGGGCTTTAGTTGTGGCTGCAGAATCCCAGCACAGAAAACAATTATTTACTAATGATGCATGTATGTCAGCTGAGGAGCATTCAAGAGGTTTAGCCACTTGAAATAAGGGATTTTATTTTTTACTGACCAGTACTCTTAACTTTATATCTATTTTTCCCCTTCATTTTTCCCCTTCAGGTCCTGGGAATCGTCTTCTTCCTCTTCCTCATCATGTGGTGTCCCTTCTTCATCACGAACGTTACCTTCGTCCTGTGCCGCGGCTCCTGCAACGAGTCGCTGCTCCACGACCTCCTCAATGTCTTCGTCTGGGTGGGTTACATCTCCTCCGGAGTCAACCCGCTGGTCTACACCCTCTTTAATAAGACCTACAGGAGAGCGTTCTCCAGCTACATCAGGTGCCAGTACAAAATGGGGGCCAACGCTGCCGGACAGAGTTGCAAAACCCTCCTGGTCCCCCCACCGTGCCCGTCGCACGCCGTGACCCCTCTTCTGATGGGCAGTCATGGGAAAGCAGGCGTGGACCGGAACAGTAACTGTCGCAACGGCAGCAGGGGGGACAACGGGAGGCTGACAGTGGACCCCGAGGACACGACGGATGACGGGACGCAAATCGGAATAGTGTCGCAGAGCCTCTCTGAATGCCACAACATCGGCATACTATCGGAGACAGAGCCGGAAACAGAGGTGGAGCAGGAGCTGTCGCTCATCAGCTACAGCCCCGCCTCCAGAGAACACACAAGCAGCGTGTGACTGCGTGCGTCTTGTTGTTTCATGTCTTCTTTCTAACCTGCAGACGCTGGGCCGAGCAGCGTCTCAACGGGCCGGCGCTTGGAGCCTACAGCCTTCTCACTGGTTTCAACTGTAAACCTGCAGTGGGGACTCTTATTGTGGAAAGACTAGTCTCAGTTGAGGAGCCTTATCCCCACACAGAAGTGCAGTACTTACATCAGTGTGTAGAGAAATCAGAAGAGTTTACCTCATGGGTGAAAAAGTGGGATTTTCCACTCCTGCTTTGGAATGAAAACCAATATCTCAGCCGTGTTTATTTTCTATTTGCTGTCAAAATGTTGCTTTTCATACCATAAGTGGAGAATTAAAGCATTTGTCAACGTAATTGTGCTCATCAGTCACAAGTGGTGTGCTTCATGGGGGCAAAGGTGCCAGCTGAGACCCAGACAGGGAGGGAGATTGGGCAAAAGAGTCGGTGAAGAGCGAACTCTCTTTGTCAACCTGGTATGAAGTCAAGCGGCCCATGGAGTCCCACTGACGCAGGTTACGGAGTCAAGCACCAACCGCCGAGGTCGACGGGGTCAAACTATGACTTCAAGCCTTCACACATAGTCAAAATGCAGTCTGAGCGCTGGTTCGTGTGGACCCCCCCACCCCCACCCCACACACACACACACACACACACACACACACCAAGCAAATGAAAACCAAAATCTATTTTTGTGCCGGTCAAGCTTGACGCCAACAGTCATAAAAGTCTCTCTGAATGACCCTTTTCCAGCATGAGTAATCTGAAATGGGATTTTTCTCTAAAGGAAACCTTCTCAAAGCTGCAGTCAGAGTTTGTCTGAGAGAAGATGTTGGAATGTACATTGATCGGTCGTGGACTCACAGTGCCATCTGGTGGCCATGTGACGCACAGAGCGGTCGCTCCCCTTGAGTACAACAAGGGGCTAAAACAACTAAAAAACATGGTGCAGGCCTTTGGTCCAACAGCTGTCAGGCTCTTGCTTCCCTTCACCACTTTTCACAGTCCAACATTACCAATTTTTTACCCCATAAAGTTTAAAATAAAAGGAAGCAATCTAAAAGTGTAATTAAAATATGATGTTTTATGATGTTGTGCAGATCATTAAAAAGGAGCAAAATATATAGATTTTACATCATCAGCCACATTTGTTTTATCGATTATCCATCGTTATCATTGAGTCGCCTTCATAAAACAATATAAAGCTCACTCTCCGGGACCAACACGGCTGTGATCAGTTCACACATACCTTTATTTTCCCAAAACAGTGTCATTTCACACTTAAACTTAAAAATCAAGAAAATATTATTAAGCAAGTTCACATCATAGTAGCAAATTTAAAGAATATGCAAAAGCTGAGTTTGAGTCAACTGGAGACACAGATTGTACGTGTGAGTTTAAAGCTCATTGTTTGGGTAGGTGACTGAATATTTCCCACATCTAATGAATGTCTGCAAATTCAGTATAAACATCATTGAGATTGTCGTCATACGCGTCCAGTTAACAGTCAACAACCTCATTAATACACATATCATATTAACAGGTTACATATCAGAATATTCCCATCATCATCTTGGCTGTTTGGGATTCAAGGCATCTGTGAAGGACACATTCTTGAATGAACAAAAATTTCTCTCCCTCATTTACTTTTTCTTGTTCAAGGTCAGATATTAGATCAGTCTTCTCTCTCTAAACGTCCCTCAGCTGCATGATTTTCTCTCATGGTGGAGGCCAAATTTGAGAAAGCCAAAGAGGAAAGAAGGAACATTCATGTTTTTGCATTGTAATCAATGAGCTTTGGTTAAATAATCTCCATCGGAGCATTACTGTAACATGTTTATTCTGATGTTGGTTTTTCAGGATGGAAAGCTTCTCGGAGAACTTTGTTTTTGACCCATAACCTGATGGTCAAAAACCCCTTAAATGAGACTCAGACATCAGCTGTTCAGCCACCGTAACCCAGAGTGTGACTCAAAGACCAAATACCTTTAGATTTCATCTGTCGCACAAGACGGACAGAAAATCAATTCACTAAGATTCAGAGCCTTGACTCTATCAAGACAGGTCGCCAGACCCTCACAGCTCTGTCACGCTGATTTTCTCGCCCTCCTTCCTCCCACATTTTATTGATATCTGACAAACAGAGCCATTCCTCCACGCTGTGTCTCCATCACAAAGAAATATCTGCAATCGAGCAAATCACAAAAGGTTTGAAATATTATGTGGATTTTAAAGGTGACATATCATGGTGGCAAACCCACTCTCTAAGGACATAATATATGTATGCATTTAGCCATTTGCTTTGTAGGTTTAGTCCAATCGAGCTAAGGGAATCTCTTAAAGGGGCAGCTCACCAATTACACACAAAGTTATCTGGGTTTGGGCTTGAGGCTCAAAATTTGGAAGTGAGGGGTTGAAAAGCTTGACGTATTCTGGAGTATACTGGAATATCAATTTTGCCCATTCGATCTTTCCTTTAATTTACATTTAAATTGAGGGAAGTGCAATATAAATTGCTGGAATTCCCCTTTAAATACAAAAAATATTGACAAAGTAGACAAAGTAGATGTACCCCTCCCACTGTAAACAATATTTCATTTTGGTAATAATCACTTAAACCAAAATACAACACCTGAATGTACAAGGTTTTTTACCCACGATCCCTCCACTTCCAAGGTCAAAGAGCATAGGTCAAAGTCTGCAGTGGACCAATCAAAACCCGGAGCCTGAGGCCTGCAGCCACCTCCACATACAGTTCATTCTAATTCTATGCTTCTCTGTATAATGTATCCACAATCTGTATGCTACAGACTTACACAGTGGTCATCGCACCACTTTTCTCTCCACAAAGGGAGAGGTCTACATGAGCTAATGTTGGCGAGCGCGGTACCAAGGTTTTGGCCTACAAATATGTGCGTGAATGTTTGAAGTGTTGTTCAAAAGGTCCTCTCTGCCTCATTTAGTTATGTTTTTGTTTTTTGTTTTTTGTCCAGAGTCACAGTCAGAAAGGAGAGAACAAACAAAGAGCAATCAACAACATGCATATTGGAAACAGAATGCAATTCTTTCAGGCCTTTCATCTTTATCAAAGTGCAAAAATACCAACAATAAACAACATAAACGGGGAAAAATGGAGAAGAGAGGACTCTTTGAACTGAGTTGAATGGGTTCTGTTTGATCAACCCAGGTGTAAGAAAGCAAAGAGCTACAGACGGGCCAGCCAACTCAATATGTCGCAATGTAATAACTATATGTTTCCCGTGTACCTGTGTGTGTGCCAGTGCCTGGATCAAATTGCTATCTGAGATTGATTCAGTCATTTTCGGAGTGTTTGTCGATTGTGTCTGGAACAATGGATCCTGTCGGGTCTTCCCTGCAGACGCCAATCCTGTCCGGCCCCAGTTCCAGACAGATGAAGGCAATCACGCTGACAAAGTATCTGAAAGGATTTCAAGTAATAACTCGGTCCAGGTCTGGTGTGTATAGACATAGTAGGAGCCGTTTATTGACAAAGTTTCATTTTAATACATTTGAGGGAGGGGGGGTGGCTGATTTGGGTTTTCCCCCCCTCCTCCAGGACTATTTATTGTTGCCAGGCAACAATGCATTGCACAAGAACTGTTTGAGAAAATGATGTAGTATATATGAGAATTGTCTAACTCTATGAGTGAGATGTTTAATGCTCAAACAATCAGAGCATATGGTATGTGCAAGCTTAAAGGAGAAATCCACCCTGAAGTGTGAAGATGAGCCGGAAGCTCAACAATTTTTACTCTTTTTAAAGATTAGTGGGAAATGCAGGGACATTATTAACAGAAAGAGCAGTAAACTGCAGCACTTCACCACAGAATAACTCATGTAATGGATTTATCATTCAGAGAAAAGGTGAAATGTAAGAGAATCCGAGGGTGGATTTTTTTTTCTTCAAAGGACTAGTTCAACTTTTTGGGAAATATGTTTATCCTGACACCAAACACCAAACAGTTAGCCTGGCTCTGTCTGAAGGTCACTACATCCATACTACGACCAGAGTGTAAAATAAGTTGTGTACCCATCTGAAGTCTGCCTGCCAACCTCACTTTCACAAAAGACTTTAAGAAGTTGGTTTCTTTTTGTTTGCACTGAACAAAAGAGATGAAACATGTTCATTATTGAGCTTCAGAGGTGCTGCTAGGTGGATTATTTTTCCTGTTTACCCCCCTGTTAACACACAGACATGAGAGTGATATTGATCTTCTCTTCTCACGCTCAGTAAGAAAGTAAATGCACATATTTCCCAAAAATGTCGACCTATTGCACTAAATCTTACGAGATCCAGCAGAGAGGCCAGGTGCAATGCATCCTCTCTTTTAAAACCACATTTATTAATGCTAAGTTTAAAATAATAACTTACCTAAAGAATTCACAAGAGCTCACAGTTTTCAAATCTAAATGTAAAAATACCTCAACATGCTGTCTTTTATAGGACATGGCAAGCCAACTTTTTCATATAGGGAAACCCAAAAGCACTAAACTTTTTCTTTTGTTTTTCTAATACAGTGTCTCTTAACTTAGCTGCTGCCTCGCCTGTCGTCCCCAACGTGTAACTCTGTCAGTAAATGGCTCTGAGAAAAGCCAGAGCTGCAGGTTGTTCAAGAGTTTGGCAAACCCAGCTTCTCCACTGCACCTTCCCCTGCGTTAAAAACCTTGGCTCCTGAACCCGAGGTGTCGGCACTCTCTGATGCTCGTTTGCTTCGACACAGATCAGTGTGTCTGGTTTGTCTTGCTCTTGTATGATCCAGCGCTCGTGGGTTAACTCTCTTTTTAATGTGTTGAACCTTCTTCTGTTATGCAGTGGCTGTTTTTTATACCATTTTAATTGTGAATGTTTGTCTACGACACATCTTCTTGAGTTTATACAACAATTATGCCATCATCCACACAATGTATATTTTCTTTTTTTTCTGTGTGATGCTGCTATTTATTTATTAAAATATTATTCTAATGTCTGGACAATTGCCTGATTTTGTATATTAACCACTATTTAGTCCATACACTCTACAGAAAGCAGGTTGTCTGTCACTGACAGGAAGTTCATAAGCTTTTATTAAGTAGATTTTTAAGTTTTAGATTTCTGTGGTGATTGTGTTTTTAACAGCGAAGTGGCAGATGTTAAATTGAATTCATGTCTTTCTGCCTCAACATTTCTTTTAACTCACTAAAGTAAACCACCAAACCACAGAGCAACAGAACAACAACCCTCATGGTAAAAGCAACTCAATCGCTCAGCATTCCTCCCCTGTGCTGACTAACGGCTACATACCTCACTGTGTAATTTGGGGAATTTGATAATTACAGTATAAGCACCAGCTCCCTGGGCTGGATACCCACTCTGTTCTGCTATTATGTTCTTTTCTAGTGCAAACATCTGCCAGTCAGTGGATGCTTTAATCCAAAGAACCCCATGAGTAATGCTGAACCTGGAGCTAATTAGACCCTTAGCCTTGGTCATGCTCTACCCACTGAGCCATGCAGGAAACTATACCCATGCTTGCAAAGTGAGGTATGCAAGCATGTCAACTGCTCAGGCATGCTAACAATAGAGTGCTAAAAAAAAACAGCCTTTTATAAATTTTAAAAGGATTAAGTGTAGTCATGTAACATTTATTCACTTAGCAGGACTGCCAAAGTTTAATAGCATAAAATGATCATAAAATAGGTCTGTGTAGGGTTGGCAGAGCTGTTCACCGAAGGACACATTTCATTCAAGTTTAAAGACGCTTAAAAACGATGAATGATGGTGAGTTAACAAAGCCTTCAAGCCAAAAAAGGTATTTAAGGTAAACACAAGAAACTTGTGCTGTAGAAAATGGACCAGACTCAGTGAATAGCTCCCTAAGCTTAACATCCTAAGTCCTATGATAACTATTAATTCAGCTATACAGACTAATGAGCAGTGATAACTAACATGTCTTTGGGGTCATCAGGTGGGAACCTCCTTTCACCAGTGTTTCGTCTAGTTGGTCCCACGACACCTCCAGGAGGCTAGACAGTGATCACTGGCGTCCCAGAGTCACTCCCCTAATGCCAGCCATCACTGCTCCTCACACCACAACTATTTTCTCCTTTATCTTGCCTATGCTACCACAAACAACACAAATGATTAAATGTACTGATATTACAATTTTGTGTTATAATATATAATGTATATTTACCTCTTCAGTTGATATTCTTGCTGTAATTTTATGTGACTGTATTAATCCACAGGCTAAATCTAACTGTGTCACAACTTTTCTGTTGGACTACTGGTCCTACTGGTTGCTGATGGAGATCAGTAAAGGTCATAAATTAGGCCTATGTATTGCTCCTTTAAAAAGCAGACAACCAGCATTGTGTAGCCTCACACAGCTTAACAACCAGGTGTTGTTATCACATGCAACCACAAGGTGGCACCACAGTTACCCAAAGCAGACAATCACAATCAACAATGAACTACCACAAAGTATCTCAGGAAGTCCCACAAAGTACCACAGACAACAAGAGAGAACCACAATGTGACCGTTTCTTGCAGTATATCTCCTATGCGAGTCTAGATTTTCAAAGAACTTTGGTTTTAAAGTCAAGATTTTGCTTTCCACATCACTGACTCTGATTAGAGAGCTGCTAAAATGTATTTTACAAAAGAATACCTGGAAGCTTGAAACATGCTGTATACTATAAGTTTCCACCTGTCTGTCCCTCAGAAATTCTTGTTATATTCCTGTGTGCATTCATTATGATTGCACTGCTGCGAAACAGGCCGGATTGAAGCAGCTGCAGCTGGTCAATAACTCAACACAATTAGACTATTAATGTGAAAGTTAGAAATCAGCCTGTAGAGAGCTGGAGTGCCTATAACAGACCATGAATGATTTTATAGTGACGTTTTTGAGCTTTATAACTCTATTAGCTCCCGTAATATGACTTTTAAGATTTTAAGACAGAAGGAATATTGTGAGAATATGACAGAATTAACAGGTAAAGGCATCATTCAGTCCTTTACACTAGGCCTTTTAGGCTCAGTGGGAACAGCCCCATGGACAGCGACACAGTTGTTTACAGCGTCATTAAAAAATCAGCACCACGGACAGCGACACACGCTTTCATCAGTACTTGTTTACGGCGTCATTAAAATCAGCACCACGGCCAGCGACACGCGCTGAGGAGCAGGGGCCTGCAGGAGACGTCACTGTCAAACATGAATCAACAGCGCCGCTGAGTGGTGTATCTGGGAAACAGCAGCAGAGTACTTAATTAAAGTCCCATCAATGAAAGAAGTCAAAAATACACACTAGGTCTATTGAATTGGTTAGCTCTGTAAAGGATAAAAGTGTCAACATAAATTAGGCCTGAACTGTACAGCAACAATGACTTTATTCCAATTTGAGATGACTCTCTTATCTCGTACCTTATATACCTCACCTTATATGCAAAAGCAAACTTTTCACTTGCTCGTAACCTCAAAAGAAAAGTTGGCAACTACCTACTTAGTATAGCTTTGCTGATTTCTTGTTTACTGCCCGGGGTTGCGGGTGGTGAGGTAATTCATTATTGAGAATAAATACATTTTTAATGTAACCCCGGTTGTATCTGTAGTCTAGGTGTGTGCAACACAACCATTTTTGACTCAGTCAGAAGGAAATAACACATTTTCGAATCATGTGGTTGAATGACGCCAGTAAAATTAGTTTGTTTTGCTGAAATGAGAAAAAAACAGTCAGTTAGGCCTAATTAACTTTCTCACTTTCAGTTCATTAATTACAGAGAAGTGATCCTCCATTCCACGCGTGTTTAAATCGAAGTGTCATATTCCCACAGGTTTGCAGCGCCTCTGCCTCCTCGGCGCGGCGCTCTGCTCATGGATGCTGCTCGATGGAGTGGGTGGTGGTCTCGGCGGTCACCGGCAAAATTCGGAGTGCTTCGGAAACGCATGCGTCGTTACGCCAATTTGCTGCATCTCCCTGGTTTGTTTGAGCTGAGGTCTGTGTCAAGTTAGCTAAAGGTATCACGGGAAATACCGGCACGAAAGATTGAGCTTTCAACATAAAATCCTCCTGAACATTTGTTGAACTAATTATTAATTATTAGAAAGTGCATGTCGAAGACGTGATCATTAGCAACAGGACAACAATTGCAACTTTCAAAAAATGGATGTGTTCATTATAATGTAATCAGAAGCAATGCAATAGTTTAAAATAATAATAATAAGAAGAAACTTGCCATCAATAACAAAAATACAAAATACCAACAAAAGCTCACAGATGCCCATGGTGGAGGAGAGACAAGTTTGTATTTATATTTATATTGTATATTTGTATATTTATGTATTGATTTATTTATTGTATTTGTTTTTTGTGTGTAACAGAAGAAAAACGTATTTTAGTAGCATCCATAGACAGAATGGATCTCTGCCACAAACTAATCCTTCTAGCCAAAGTCAGCTCTCAACCCTGTCAGGATTTAAATTCAAGTTAAAACGACTAAACAAAAAGATAACATAATATCAAAAAGTCATATTTGTCTATCTAAAGAATAGGTTCCAAATGTTTCAGGTCTATCTTGTTTCCCCATCGTTTTAATTTTAATTGGGACTTTTATTTTTGAAATGTCAAACGGAAGTGTCTTTTCTTTACAATAGGCTGCAGCTTGACGCTCGTCAGCTCGGCGGACGCTGCCTTGGAAACGACATAAATCCAGTCCACGCAGCTGGGTTGAGAGCAGGGCCCCAGATTTCCTCACTTCAAAGGCTTTCACTCCTCTCCTCCGCCTCCTCTTCCTCCTCCTCTCTACATCCCTCCATCAATCCATCCAGCCTTGGTCCTCGGAGCTGCGAACATGGGCGAGCTGAAATGAAACGCGGAGCAGGAGAGACGGAGCGGAAAGAGAGCCATTCCGATAAACGAGCGAAGAAGAAGAAGCAGGAGAAGAAGGTGAGGCCAGGTAAATCTGAGCGGATATTAAATCGGCTTTGCTTGTGACAGCGATGGTGTGGACACATGCCTCCTGTGGGAGCACGTACGATGAGGGAGGGTGCGTTTGTTTTTGTTATTGCATCGTGCACACACGCAGAAAACACAATGCACCCGCGTTTATGTGGAAGGCAGCGAGCTGAGCTGCATGCTTATTAATTAGAGCCCGTTTATCTGCAGCCTTGCACCCGAATCCGCCCGTTTTTACTCCCGAGTTTTGTAACCGTGGCCGTCGTTTCCATCGCACTGGTCAGGTGTATCAACGACCCGCCTGCTACAAAATGTCACCAGTTGGTTGAATGTGTCATAGGATTTGGCAGCAAACAAGCTCGTGGGTCTGTGTCGACTACAAAAAGAGCAATGGGGCTTATACAGGAGGTGTGCAGGGATTAGTCTGTGGCAGGGATCCATTCTAGTCTAGTGCTGCTAAAATGGCACGTTTTTCAAATGGGATTCTGTGCAGAGATACTGAATGTCTTAAACCACGTTTGTCCTTGCACAAATTTTTTCACACTTTATCTGTGTTATAAATTCCTGCAGGGTTTGAACATTTTAAAATGAGCAACATATATGTAAATTCCTCTGGAAATGCTCATGGATATGGAGTAGCGGGCCTCCCAGATTCAGTACATGCCTGCCTCCAGTGTTAACTTCAACCCCAACGTAAATCACTCGTGTTAAGTTTGATTATTGTGGCTCTTTCTGCTGCTGCTCCTGCTCTTGAATGTTGCTCCTGTTGCTCCTGTAGCGGTTGCTTATACATTTGCTTGTTGCTTCCTTGTGTAAAGGCCTGCTGGAGTCTGAATCCAGGTGGAGATGATTGTATCTACAATGATGTTGTAGAGGGACTAGTGGCAGCTGATAATGGCACAAACACTTGAAATGTATGGGAGTGGAACAGGGAGAAACAAATGCAGAGAAATAATCCAATAAGGATATGCAGTAAAGGAAATTGCAGTGAAGTGATCAGCATCTTTACAGCAGAGCCCATTTTTCAGATTCAATCGTTCCGATTAGTCGATCAAAAGAGATTAATTTGAAACCATTTCCATAATTTATTATAAGCCTCTAAAGTAAGAATCCCAAACATTCCCTGTTGCCACCTGGAGTGTGAAAGATGTGGGCAAGCAGCAGACATGGAGGGTCTTAGAAAAAATGCTATTGTGTTGCATTATGGGGAATGTTGGATCTATTGCTTTTGGAGGTCGACCCATAAGTCAGGATATCTTGGCCTCCTGTGCTTCAAGTTTTGGCTGCTCTTGTTTTAATCTGCCTCTTGCAATTTTCCCAATTTAATGAAAGTCCACCACTAAATCACTGAAGTTCCACTTTAACTAAATCCAACTGGCGCAGACATGATTGATTGGTGATTGACAGGAAATCGATCAACAACAACGACAAAAATTTGATCACTTTAGTTGATTTTAGTTGAGCTTGACCAGCAACGTGGAAGTAGCAGTTGTTGCTGTGTCACAGGCTTCTCATTGTTTTTTTTATGTTTTATTTTTATAATGTTACCGCAGTGCTTTGACATACAAGCCACAAAGTGCTTCTGATGCAACACTGACATTATAACTGGATAAACTGAACTGTAGTTGAATGTGAGGTCCCTGCCAATTTAAAGTGTTCAGGAAGTGGAATGACTTCAACATTTAACCGCTCTGTCATGAGCGAATGTCCAATTCTGTGAACAGCAACTGAGTTTTTTCAAGTCTAGACTCCAGCCTGAGCGAACAGTGATTAGATAATAGGTTTCCTTTGTGTGTGTGTGTGTGTGTGTGTGTGTGTGTGTGTGTATGTGTATCTGCTGTTACAGTACAGAGTTGTATTCATAAATGACGGTGCTCAGGCAAGCTTGCGCTGATTCCTTACATAAGCGAATCATTGAGGAAGGAGGGCGAAGAAAGCTGAGCGCTAAATAGGCATAAATGCTCAAATAGGGACACAGCACAACACATGGATGCATAACTACACACACACACACACACACACACACACACACACACAGTTTTTTTAACTTCAGGGATTGAAGCAAAGACAAAGGAGGGGCGATGCTGTGCGGGTTGACAAAGGCATGTTCTCTGCTGAGGGCACAAAGGGCACTTTTCTGGTTTCTGGCTTTTTTGGACGCACAATTCCCATTTTTCCCCAAAGGAATTTGTCATTGGCCTGCCCTCACCACAACCATGAATACAGTAGGGATTCACTTCTGTGTTTTTAAAGGCTAAATACACTGAAATCAGGACTTTGTTCTGAGGAGGTCTGTTTCAAACTGAGATCCAGACTAGCTAAGCTCATTTAGAAAAGCTTGTTGTCATTAATTTCAGTGAAACGGGTCCTACAATCAATAGTATTCCCCGTTTAAAGAAGAGTTAAACATTTGGAAAAGGTGTCACTGTCTTGCTGATAGATCGGCGAGGAGACTGATCGATATGTTGCTAGCTCGGGCAGGCGATTAGCGATTAGCGATTTAGCAAAACAAGTAACTCACTGTGAAACCAGAACTTTGTGTTGTTGCACCACATTTCTGTTTGAACACTGATTAAACAAACTACATGTTCATTGTTTTATTTTAGGTGGATTTATTTCAACCTTGTACAGATTAGCTTTTTCCTTTGTTTGTCATTTGTTTGGTTATTTTCGCTTAATGAATGACTGTTTTTAATCAGTTAATTAACTGAAGGAAGGAGGGGTTTTTATACATCACAGTAACATTTTAGAGGACATAACCCTCTGTCCTTTTTAAATACAGACTAGTTGAAATCTTTGCTTTCCTTTTTGATGAACAGTTTCAGAGAGTCTTTAACTTCCATGAAGAGGACTGTCCTTATGTTCTGTACCAGGACTGTGTTTATGATCCTTCCTCTCAGAGCGAATAACAAACACGCTTGATCTCTTTCTCCTCCTGCTTCACTCCTCAGTGTTTCTGTTCTTTTGTGAGTCTTTCTGACGCAAGAATATGTTCTACAGCTGTCATCGTTCTTTCCTCTGGTGTAAACAGAACTTATTGCCTTTGTGCACCCCTGAGCACAAACATCAGTGAATTTTGAACGGCGACACAAGCAGGAATTTGACAGAATATCCGGACAACATTAGTGTTTTAATGCTTGTGCCTGAGGTCTAGTCTTTAGTTTCATCACTCAGGGAGTAAATACATAAAATGTCCACTGTATAATTTCAAAAATGGATGGTTGCCAACCTGAAAACAACCTCCCATTTGGATTCACTGTATGTTTTCGTCCACCGGCCCCTTTACAGAGTCTTAAGATTTAAGGACGCTGAGCATTTTCTCTGCTGAAACACAGGATGATTAGGATTCCAGAGGTGAGCGTCGTGTTTTCACAGTAATATGTATCTCAGGAGTCGGCCGTGCAGGAGAGCCTCTCTGTCCCTGGGTAGAAGACACATTATACGTTTTCCAGATGCATGTTCTTTCCCATGAACGTTTTCTATTCTTTCTCCCAGAGGAGCTTGTTCTGTTACCGAACCTCCAGTCTGTTCCTCTGCCTCCTCTTTGAACCAGATCTGGTCGGTTTAAACGTTTCCAGGTGAAAGGAAGTGGGATTTTATTGTATTATTTAAACAGATCTCTGCCTTCCTTGGATTTTTGAACACATGTTGAGTGCGTCTTGCTGTAGCTAATGGTTTGAATTAACTCTGAAGATGCACTGCAGCCTCTTCAGTGTGCACTCAGACTGAGTGATGTGGCCACTTAGAGATCCGCTCCGGGGCTATTCATAGTCTGAATAACCATCCGACACGTTGAATAGGATCTGTCTGTCATGAGTCTTCCATACAGTAGATTTCACTTTCTTCCCATTGAAGGATGGTATAGTTATAGAAAAATGGATACAGTTAAAGGTACTAAGTATAGACTTTGAAAACATCCGACTCTGCTGAGATGAATGGGCTGAAAGAAACAGGCTGCACCGATTTTTCAGTTTTCCATTTAGAACAGATTGAAAGATGCTTCAAAAATGTACATATGATAACTTTAAAGACGCAAAACAGACTTTACTTGAGCTTTTCACTTTAGGACAAATTGATATTTTGAGTCGTTGCGGATAGAAAGTGATTCTGTTCCAATTTTCCTTGCATTTCATAACTCTAAAGACAGACCTGTTGGACTGCAGCCAGTTGTGAATCCCCTTTCAGCCAGCGAGTGCAACCTGCATTAATATGTACACTATCATATACCAAGTGTGTTTATGTGATTAAGTCCTTGCTCTGACTAAATACTGGAGTTGCATGTTCAACTCAATATAGTTGTTAGTCAGAAAGTCAAACTATTCTAAACAGTTTGATGATGATTTTATTCAGTGAAACAAAAGTCAAACACTGATAATGCGGCAGAGGGAAGTTTATTGGCACTGTCTCGCTGTCTCTTCTTTCACTGGTGATCACATGGAGGAACCAGGAGGGTTCATCTTCCACTGCTGAGGTCACTCAGTCGGTACAAAAATAACTAAAAACCTGCAGCGACACAGAATCATAAACCTGGATTAAGTTATCATCATGTGCTCGGGGATAGAAATGATCAAGTTGCTGTATGATCCATGTAGGCCTGCAGCTCAGTTATTTCCATGATTGATGGATCGGTTTACTCTTTTCTCGATTAATCAATTAAGCAAATGTTTGACTATGTCACTTTCAGCTTTGGGAATATCTGTCATTTTACAGATGAATGTACAGTCCAAAACCCAAAGATATCCAATTGTGTTTGAGAAGCTGAGATCGACACATGGGGAATGTTTGCTTGAAAAATTAATCGACTATCAAAGGTTGTTGCTGATTAATTTTTATGTCGGTCAATTAATCGACTAATTGTTTCAGCTCTAATTCAGTGTGAAGAAATCGGCCTTATAAAACATGCACACCTACCCACCTACCTTGTGTTAGTATTGCAATAGTAGAGAAGTGACATAATTATTTAGTCTTATTTTGAGCGTAGTACTTACAGAAGTCAACAAG